TTTTCCTTGGGGAAAAACCCCCAAACATCTGAAATAATTCTGTGGTGCATGTACAAACAGTATACCAAATTGAACTCCTTGGAGTCATGTAACCCTACAGACCAAAAATCAGTGTGTTCTCTGGGACAAGTGAGTTTTCAAACACTCAGGAAAATCTTGCTAGGGATGTAACTGTTTAATAAACTCAAGAGGTAGAAAATTTGAGCCACCAGAATGTTTTCTGGCAAGACTGTATAAAACACAGTCAAGACCACCTAATCTTGAGTGGGAACCTGGCAGATGAGAGAATCCCAAATCTATTATAATTCAGAGAGAGTACCTGGATAGACAGTCAATCCATCAGGCTGCCAAGGAGAAGAATACAGGTTCTGCTGGTGGCAAGTGAATTGTGGTTTTTAACTACACTGGAACTGAAATTCTGAATGAAAGAACAGACCTTATTGAAACAAAAGAAGTATGAAACATTTTGTCTGATGTGTCTTGACAAGGCACTTGAGCAGTGCCTCAACACTCAAATTATTACAGAAAGAATTGGGTGATTCAAGAGACCTGAACAAGGAAAATATTGAATGAACTGTCATCTCTGATGAAGCAGAATGGAGCAGGCTCTCCCATTTTTAAAGGAGATTATTAAAGTTTTCATGTAATGCCTCTCAGCTGTGTTTAAAATTCATTTTTAAAGACTTTAAGACCATCCAAAAGTGGGAGCTCCAGAACTCCACTTGATTGTGCTCTTCATTGTCCTTCTCAGGTGCTTTAAAAGGTGACACAGGTGCCACCCAGCCTGCAGTGAGCAATGCTTGCCTGTCTGCTCTGGTTCCTGTGCTCACACACCTCCTGGGCTGGCCATGGGTGTGGTTACTTTACTGGCTGGGGCTTATTATTATTAAAAAGGTATCAGGGTGACTGTTTTATCTCAGGACTGACCACTCTGCCATGCCTGGTGATGTGGCCCAGGCATTTCCACTACTTCCACCTGAAAGCAGTTGTCCTTGCACAAAAATCAGGGATAATCATATGCTGGAGAGATGGAGTGGGTGAGCTCACCTCCCTGCTGTGCCAATACTTTTTAATTCAGAATTGCCAGGAAGGATGCAACTCCAACATGAATTGTTGTCTTTAAAACATTAAAATGAGCCAGAAATCACAGGCTTTAAGTGTTCCAGGAATTTTAATGACGGTGAAGGTCAAAGACAAAGTGCAGACTGTGGCAGTGAGGAGGTGTCAGACTAATGCAGTTCTTATTTCCAGGGAAGGAAGTGGACTGGAGCTCAGAGGGGGAGGCAGCAGGAGAAGGCAGACAGGCTGCTAGGAGAAGGAAGGCCTGCAGTACCTAACACAAAGGACATGGCCAAACATGGCTCCAAAATTTTATTGCAGCTCAGAAAGTCCAAGGATGCTCCCATCCCTATAGTGACAATTAGAGGGATTACAGAAAGGAGAAATAAAGGTTTTAGAGAAGGGAGCTGTGGGATAAGATGGTGCTGGGACAAGCAATTTCTCCTTGATAATCTTATCAGCTCCAGCTGGGAGAGTGGGAGAAGAGAGTGGAACAGGTGGTGCCTGAGTCCACCCACATGAAGGTGTGCTGCAGTCTAAATTGTAGAGCTAAGAGGAAGGTAGGAAGGCTAAAGCTTTTTGTTTCATTTGGAGGAGTTTTTTTATTTGTTTTATTTATTAAAGAGTAAATGCCTTAGCTTGCACTGTGCTCTTGCAGGGCTTTTGAGTTAATAATAGGACGTGGTGGCTGCGTTGAGCTCTTCCTGGGTGAGTAAATATTGTACTAGCTCATACTATGGCAACAGAAAAAATAGAAATACTTCAAAAAGTTCTTACTCCTTGTTTGGGTTATGTAGCCCTCTTTGTGCTCAGTTAAAAGGAAACTTTAGAGGTGAAAGCTTTATATTTGTTCTGTGTGGCTCTCTCAGTCACAGCATAAAAAGACATTTCCAGGATTTTTTTGCTTAATCACAGATGCCAGTGATACTGGACTCGTGTGGCTGGGAACCAGCATCATTTACAAGTACACAAATTCACTGTTTCTGTGAATTAACTGATGAATTCTTTCACTTTCTAAAATCAAGCACTGAGATAATATATTGGCAGGCAGGAAAGGGAGAAATTCATTTGCAGAGGCTCGCTGGGCTCACGACAGAACTCCACAAAGCTTGGAAAAACAGCTTTCTGTGGCTCTGCTGAGTTCCTGTTAATTACTTAGCCAGACATGACCTTGCACAACTTCTTCACCACCAGGGACTAGGAGATGTTCCGTGGTAAACACAGCCCATAATAACCCTGTTCTCTAATCTCTGTGTCTGTAGCTGATGCCACTCTTTATAAAAGTGTATGTGTATTTATATCTCTCCCTGAGACACCTAATTGAGAAAGGGCTTTGTGAGGGAACAAAACCATTCAGGTTGCAGGAAGTAATTACATAGGCACAGGTTTACTTGTTTCATTACTGCTGCATGCCAATATTGTTATCAGAGGACTCACTGTGTATTGAAGCATTCCCAAGAGATTTAGGTGGGCATGGCACCTCTGGAGAGCCTAGCAGAGAGTCCCTAACTCTGCAGTGACCCCTCTGTGAGCAGCCACAGCCACTCCTCCCAAAGGCAGGGCAATGCTTTGCCACCACTGAAATATCAGCCTCCTAAGTAGTTGTTGCTTTTGCCTCTCAGGCAAAGCTGTGAAGCTTATCCTTTTGGGGTGAAGGCAGGTCTGCTGCTTCTTAATTGCCTCCTTCCCCAGTGACTTGGGAGATTGTTCTCTAACTGGCTGTAATTATCCTTTTCTGTAAACTAACCAAAGTGCACTCTGCTTTCGGTGTTATGTTCATTAACAGGGTTCTGTGGGTTAATGTATTCTGGGAATGTCCAGTCTGTAAGAACAGACTGATTTGTGTAGCAAGTGTTTGTGAAATACCCTGAGGAACAAACCTGTGCCGGGTAACTGCTTCAAAATGGAATCCATGATGTTGAGGACAGAGTATCTATGGGTGCTCAAGTTGCAGGGTGGATTTATGTGTGAAACATTCACCCAAAAAGGGGAGATAAACTTTTTATTGTCCCGGAAAGAGAGCTTGGGGGGAAGGTTGTGAGCCTGTGCCTGCAGAAGATTTCTCCTTGTGGTTTGTGTGTGTTACATGACTTCTTGTGTGAGGTGAGCAGGGGATTTATCCTGTGAGTGGCACTTTTGGTGTTTTTGTGAGGAAAGTGGGCTGCTAATTTGGCACTGGAGAAATGTGGGAAGAACGAAAGCTTCCCTTTTTGCCCTGGCTCAAACATAATGAATGAAAGCAAGCTCACCATGCTTGAAAAAAAATAAATTTAAAATCTCTGAATCCTAGCAGATGTTATTGTCTAGCTATTCAGCAGTGTGGACTGGTTGGTTTTCAGATGGATAAATGTGTGCAGCACATAAATATAATTCTGAATGCTTTTAACAGCATCCAGCTCCTACTGCAGGCCCTGGATGTGGAGTTTTCTGCTGTGTCTCCCAGAATGAGCATGGAAGCATGGTTGCTGTGCCAGGCACAGCTGGAAAGGTTTGCCCAGCCATGTTACTGACTCCTGGATGGTAATGGGGGTGATTTGGGCTTTTTCCTGCATAATGAGATGGTTGCAGTGAGACCTCTGCTCTGAATCTCCAAGTGTCTCTGTGTGGACACTGCTCTGCTGGCACTGGGGGCTCTTGAACCGCTGTGGAATTGTTGAATTTGCTTCCTTAGTGGAGCAAACCACGTCAGAAAGATGCTCGCAAAAAGGCGCAGGCGGGAAGCTATTGCTGAAAAACTGCTTTCACAATTGCCTTCTGAGTTCATTTCCTCTTGTATAGGAGCCCTTGCTCAGAGCATTTCCCCATATATTTCCAGAGAGAGAGCACTTGATCACTGAGCTTGTGTGCAGTACTCACATCTCAAAGGCACCAGGCACTCCAAGTGCCTGGTGCTCAGAATCAGCCCTGATGAGCATTCATATGCCTGGTTTGGCTAATAGAATTACCCCAAGTGCTCTGATGTGCAAAATTGTTCCAATTGTATGGGAGACTACTGCTCTTGCTGGGTATTTGGATATCTCAATGGTCTGGATGAGGAGGCAAATGAATGTAGAAACTGTAGAAACGAAAATAAGGGTTTAGAAATTAAATAGAAGTCTGCTTTTAAAAACAAAAGGCTTGCTTGTTGTCCTTGAAAGCATTGGGTATTTACAGCAAAAACCCTCCAGAATAAAGGCTGGAGAATGTGATATTGCATGCTTAGGGATTCAATTAATCTCTGTCTATGATTCCCACATGTGGAAAATGACAAGAAATAACTGTCATGCTGTTGAGCTCTGTCTATTCTTTCCAAGTTGAACACATCTTTGAAAATTACTCTGAACAAATTTAATGGTGTCCCTGGATACCACAGATCAGGAAAATAAGTGCAGAAGAGCCCCCAGTGAGTAGTCTGTGGGCCTTTCACTCTATCAGATAGTTATGTCACTTGCTCAAGTGCGTGCTGTGCTTCCACCCTGTCACGGGTAACTTTAAATGCTTACCTGCTAGTCTGGTAATGAAAATTATCCTGTTAACTCTTAGACATCACATCGGGGATGTAGCTTCTTCAGGTTCTTTTGTTCCTTTTGTCTTTTTGTTCTTTTTTAATTCAGTGATGGTGAGGTTTAAGAAGGAAACCATCTTGTATCGTTCTGTCTACTTTACAGCAATAGTGAGAGAAATAATACAGAAAAGGCTTCTAGAAAATATTATATATATATATGTGCAACATACATGTGTATGCCCCTACATATACACATCCCTAAGTGCATCTCTGTATGTATGTGGGAAAAATGGCTTTTCATCTCAGGTTGTGGTTTATGTATCTGCTGGCTACGCTTGTGCACTTCCAGCCCCTACCAGGAAAAGCAGCTTCTCATCTCTTTGAGGCTTTGTCTCTTTTTGAACACCCGGTAGCACATACACGTGTCTGGGATGGTATCCCCCAGTTCTTGCCTTACCTTCACATCGTTAATTTTCATCCTCGTCCCCTCCTTCCCGACAAAGATGTCGTCTATGTCCACCAGGATGTACCTCTCCAAGGAGAGTGTGAGCTTCTTTCCTGACAGGAAGGAGATGGCATCGATGAAGATGAGCTTGTGGAGCCAGAAGGTCAGGTTGTTCCCAAACAGGACTCTCTGGATGCCGTCATGCAGGCCCAGGTCCTGGATGACGGTTGCATAGAGAGCAGCCCTGGGCAGCGTGGCAGGGGTGGGCCTGGCAGGCTGCAGCTCAGCCAGCAGCACGGGCTGGTAGGTGGAATGGTTGAACTGGAACACTGTCCAGTCCTCGCCGGGCAGGGCGCCCTTCTCCACCCTGGGCGCTCTGGTGATGCGCAGCAGGGGCGACTGAGGGTTCACCGTGCAGTCTCTGAGGGCCACGTTGTTGTACAGCTGTAATGGCAGCCCCTTCAGCCTGACAGTGGGGGAGCTGTTCTCGTTGGCTTTATGAAAACCAATTATGCTAACACTGTATTCCACACAGTATTTTTCCAGAAGTTCTCTATTCCACGAGTCCATGGACACGTACTTTAAAATATTCTCATATATAACAATTGTGTACTTCCCTCTCCCATTGTCTGTGAGAGGGGGAATGTCCCCCTTGGCTGGTGCAATGACCATGTGGTACTGAAACTTGCTGGACTCGAGGATGGCTATGATGTCTTGCCCCAGCTGGGAGTACTGGCTTTCCACGAACAGGAGCACAGTGGGATCAGTCCTAGAGGGATCAATTGGCTTAGGTGTTCTCAGCTCTGCAGACCTGTAGGGCAGAAGCTTAAGGTCCTCGCACTCTGCTTGTCCAGTGGTTTCCACCAGGGCCATTTCCTGCTTGTAGCCAGTGTAGAGGAAATAGGCAGAGATGACAATGCTTGCCAAGCAGAAGGTGGCCAGGAGAATGACCAGCGTTCGGAAGCTTCTGCGGAGCTTCCCGATGAGATTCATCTTTCGCAGGGCTTCCAGCTCCTGCTGGACTTGCTGCTCTTCGGGTTGCTCTTCCTAAAGTGCCATAGGAACGAGGACTTGTGGAGGTTCCCCTTCCAACATGTTCATGTGACCATTGCAGTGCATTGATGAAGCATTCGGGGAGGCTGTAAAGCTGCTGGGGTGGGGAGTCAAAGGATCCGGAAAGATAAAGAGGTTTTTTCAGAATGCAGCAGCTGCCAATAATCAATGAAGAGGACTCTTAACATTATCTGCAACATGAAGTAAAAGGAGAGTAAGTAAAACAAAATCCATAAAGCAATTAAAAACACACATTAATAAGGCCGGTGATTGGTACTGGTAATGTGAGTAAAGAGGGAAGTTTCTGAGTAGTTCAAGGAGCACTCAGTGTCACTTGCTTTCCTGGTGCATTAAGATAAGCTGCATTAAACAGCTCTCCTGTGTTCTTAGGATACAGAAAAGAACTCTGAACATAACGTTTTGAGCATGTGCATCTACTTATCAGCTTTTCTTATCTAAAATGTGTTGTTGCTATTGCAAATAGGAACAATGGAAGATTTTAGGGGCAAAATGAGGACCAAGTGAATCTTTGTTAAATATGAGATCGTTCTCCATGTCAAATTCAAACTGCGTGAGGGATAAACTGTGTGTGGGATTGAAAAATTAATGTGACCAAAGTGAAAGACATGACAAGAGTCTGAGGAAAGATTTGTAGGGCTTTCTCTCCAGTTTGCATTCTGCACCCAGAGCAGTCAGTACTTCATGGTCCAGTTTAGGATCTCTAAAGGTTCTATGGGGATTTTCCAAGTGAATGAGCAGGCTGCTACAACTGCAGGGTGCAGCTGTGCACGGCTCTGTCTCCATCAATGGGAAGTGCTATGTAGCAGGAGAAGTAGCTCAAGGGAGCTGTTTCAGTGCCAGGTGGGCAAGTAGGTGTGTGTGCTGGTCCATGACACTTCCAGCTAAAGCCCTTGGTCTCTGGTCTGTCCCTGTACAGATGAAGTACGAGGTGCTTCAACCTCATTGCTCTGAAGCCCTCGTGCAATTCCTGGCAGTTCTGCCCAAATTCAAGAAAAACTGCCATTGGTAACAGTAAAGTGTATGATTCAGAAGCAGTTAAAGCTAACTAAATAAATAGCCTATGCTGCTCTATGGATTTAAGTAGAAATTAACATCTTTCTGAATTATTTATATTGTTTGTCTATTGGAACAATGTGAGACAGTAAACAATGAATGATTTTGGAACTGCGGGGAAGAAATGCTTTTTCCAGGCAGATACTTATCAGTTGATGTGTCCTCTTCCATTAACTCAGATTACACTTCTGACTTGTGCTCTGAAAACTATTCATTCATCTTAAGGCTTGCACCTAAAACAGGAAAATGCTTGTAAGAAGCATTTAGAGAGAAGGAGTTGTTTTCTGAGACCATTTGTGGCTCTGGCAGGTTCAAGCTCTTATCTGATTTACCTTCCTCACTTGGAAGGTTGCAAGCAGATTGATACCCCTGGACTGTGGGCTATTCCAGCAGTGACCCTGCTGTGTCACACAGCTGGCCAAGAGGGGAGTGAGGTAGGGACAGAAATAAGCGTTTACTCCTTTCTTACATGCGAGAGAAGAAATAAAAAATAAATCACAGCTACCATTAGGAAATTGAAGTCATCCTGATAAGCTTAAGAGTATTTGCCCTGCTTTGGTGCTTCCCTTGTTCTGCAATTGTCTGCTTGGCGGGATTTCACTTCTTATTAAACCTCCAATTAAGATTTCCTTAAAAGATAAGACTGGATGTAGCCAGCATCCTGTGCCAGACGGCGCAGGAGTTTGGGTGACATTGATGAGTCACTGAGCCCGAGGACTCCCAGGGTGTCTCAGATCAGGACTCCCGCTCTCCGTGGGAGGGGCAGCCTGCAGGGCTGGGTGATGTGTCCCCCCACAAACAGCTGATTGCAAAAAGCCTGGTCGGGCAGCACGACACAGGCAGGTAACCTGGAAAAAATCGTCAACTCCCCCTCCCCGGACTGTGCATCCTCGGCTTGCTCTGGGCACTAGAGGGCAATCGCTTCTCGCTTTTGCGAGGCAGCCCCTGCTGCGCCCGGGCTCCCGAGAGCACAGCCCTGCCTGCGGCCACAAGGCTTCGGAAATCCCCAGGGCGCGTCAAACACTTTCATTAAGACTCCTGTGTTTAAAATTAAATCAAAACCAGGGCTTCTGCTCTAAGAAACGTGCCGCTAGATCACCCTGGATGCTTTGCAAATGTTTCAGCCTCCACCTGTGGCACAAGGGAATAGCTTGTGACAAGACCTAAAATTGCACATTTTTCCCTCGGTGTTTGGCCCTGCTGCATCTCCTGGGTACTGGTATTGCAAGCTGCCAAAACTATAAACTTCACGAATATTATAGCTTGTATTAGTAAAATAGGAGAAGCCCTTGACTTTATACTAGTCAGAACAAAACTATGGTCTTCATCCCTATTTCCTCCCAATAACACTGGTAAAATCTCATGAAGATAAAATATTAATAATCAGATTTTATGTCAGCTACTGCCTGTTGTATGTAGATGTTATAATTAAGTGCAAGTATTCCCACTTACTGAGATGTATAATTATATACAATTGATAAAGAATTTAAACTTGTGTAAGGAAACCTGGCATTGGAGCAGACCTTTTTTAGTCCGCACATTGTTTCTGAACTGCTCTGTTGAAGTGATTATACTGTTCAGTAAAAAAAAGAATGGTGTGAAGTAATTAAAGGTTATGAAAATAAATCAGCTATATTAGCCATTAGTGGAACTTTCTCTGAGGCATAATTGGAAGTTAAGTGCCATTTGTGCCTTTGAAAATCTCCCCCTTAAAGTTCAACAGCTTTATATTCGCTCCAGAATTCTACTATCTTCGGAGAGTTCCTGTGCTAGATTAATTTGAAAAACATGAAAATAGGCCATATTTCATAATTAGTGTTACTAATGGAGTTGCATTTTGGTAACTGGTATTTGAGGTCCTGTGGTCACTGATGAGCATTCACTGACTCTTGAGGGAGGTAAAGCCCAAAGCTGGGCATGTTTGGTCAAGGAATCAAGGTTCCAGTCATTCAGAGCTGGTCCTTCAGTAGATCTTGTCCATTCAGCCAATTTCCTCAATGTGGGGCCTTTCCCCAGCAAGAGCAGTACAACTCTGTTGTGATGTCAGAGACATCTGCAGGGACTCTAATTTTTCTTTAATTCAGGCAGCTGAAGAAAAATGGAGGTTTAAAAATTGCTGCCTCCTTGCTAAATAGCACTTCCTGCTTGCCTGCAAAAATGCATTTGATTGATGACTAAAGTGTACTGATTTTGAAGATGATTGATTGGGAGATCAGGATTTGACTATTTAAAACCGATAGCACGACAGCCAAGAGAAACAGCCCCTTATTAATGCCATGTGTTAAGTGTGCATCAGGAATTAAAGCTGACTCCCCCACGGGCCAGTTCCCACGGGCACAGCTTCCCCCAGGGCTCCTGGTGCCTGAACAAGCAGACTTGGTGTGGGCTGGGGAGCTCCTCTTACCTCTGATCATGGGTAGGAAGGATCTCTGAGCTGCTTGAGCTTATGGGAAGTAGAAATATTGGTATTAATCCATCAGTTGCGTTCATTTGCCCTGAGGATGGAGCTAATGGACTTCACATCTGCAGTGGGTTTAGAGCGTGTCAGTGCTGACAGGGCCGAGCAGAGGAGCTGGACCCTCGTTGTTCCACTGCAGTGTGGCCATTGCTGATGATCTGTCTGCACCGGAGTGCACTGCTGGCAGCAATTCACCTGGAGGCAGGCCAGAGCTTTCCCCTCCTTATTCCAGCATCAATCACAAGTCACAATGTCTTTATTGTCTATGTATAAAACTTCCCTTTAGGGCTAAAAACCTAATGTAAAGCCTTGCCTCTTTTCTTTCTTTTCTAAGCTTGTATGACTCCTGTCACTTACCAGCAGCCCAATGAATCATGGTACCTGCCTTGCTGCTCCTTGCATGGGACTCCTCATTCATTACAGAAACAAGCAACCTGATTTGAGTGATAAATGACTCCTGGTGACCAGTAGCAAAAATTCAGCATTTCTGTTCACTGCAGAAGAAAAAAAGAGTGCTCTTCTTTTCCTTCTCTCAGAAAAGTTTCCAGGAGATTTTCTGACTGAGCTTACAAAACTTACATCCTCTTTAAAAGTAATTATATTTTTTCAAACTTAACAAAGCTGCAACGTGTTTTGTGTTTGTAGATGTGGGGTGTTGAGAGGGGTGCTGGTACCAGCTTCTCCTAGCTCATCACAAGATATTAGAAAACTCTTTTTACCTAGGATAAGGTCAGCTTCTCAGCTGATAAAGGCTGTTGCAGACCTTGTGACTTCTATTTTATCATTTCTGAGTGGAGAGGCTGCTCAGTACTTTCACCTCTTTTGTTTCTTTTCAAAGCATAATCATGTGCAAGTTAAACCCCCAATTTTTTAGTATTTTCAGCCATTTGATCAAGTCTATAGTGCACGTGTAATCTTGTGTGATTTCAGAAAGTTAAATGATGCCAAAGGGTGAAGTCAATAATCAATGAATATAAAGCAAAGAGTTTGAAATACTTCAACTTGTGCACTTGATGAAAGCTGGTGTGATTTTAGCATGAAACAATACTTGGAAGGGAGCTGTTTGCCTCTTCTGACTTCTATTTCTCTTTGGCTTTAAACTTTCCCAGATGGTTTCAGCAAGTGGTGAAAAGGCTCCCTGCTGGAGCGTGATTTGGAGATGAGTTTTGCTCACAGGGATGTTCTCACACATGTGCACACCTATGCACATGCACATCCTTTGGTTCCCCAGCCCAAATGTGACGTTTCCTGTGGCTTAGCTCCTAGCAGAAATGTGTTTTAAGACTTAGCCAGACCACATTTCTGGTGAGTGTTGCCTGATGTTCAGCCTCACTGCTTCCTTATTCTGACCCATTAACTCCCAGCAGTCCCACGGTCATTTGGACCACCCAGAAAATCCCATAAATAT